GAAAGGGGAAGGGGAAGAAGAGAGATAGGGGGAGAGAGAGGGAGAGAGGGAGGACTTCAACGGAAGTCTGTTGCTACTGCTGTTTGTGTATCGTGAGGTCGAGGAAGATGAACAGTGTTTTTCTTCCAATTGTTCAAATAATTATTACAAGGATAATATGGGGATTAAAAATTATTATAACGGCGGCCTTAAATGGAAGGCTAATAGAAGGGGTCTTTGTCTCACGGTCATAGTACAGGGGGGTTTTTGTCATACACCTCATAGTATAGGAGGGTCTTTATAATTTACCCTTTATAATGGGAAAATCTATGCTGTAGAAAAGGCATCGAAGAGATTTGACCAATCAATGGCTTCTTTCTTGCCCGTGGAATGTTAATTTTTATAAATGCCGCCTGATTGATTTCCACTTTTATGATACTGGTTGGTTGGTTTCAAATTTTTAATATCATGTCTTTCTGGTATCATAGTCCAACCCTATTTATAACTACAGACTTTTGGTCAAACCATAACAAAACTGGTCCACATGTGCCATTTTATTTTTTAATGATAAAATTAGAATTTGATCCCAGGTCTCTGCTACAACTAGTAAGTCTTTGGAACGGATGATCGTTTCTCCAGGTGCATTTTCTCAAAAAAAAAAAGTGTTGTATTAGGTGAAGGGTTGTGTGTTGTTTTTTGAGAAAATGACAATTATTTTAGTTTGTTTCTAAACTGTTTTCTTAGAAAATGACAATGGATGGTCGTTTGGTTTGCTCTTCTACATTGCAATTCATTATACGGTGTATCCCAATATATTTGCACTCTCATACATCCATCGTTGCAAAAAACGTTGTAAGAGGGTGGTCTTACATAAGTACACAATCCAACCGACCCGGGACCGAACCTGGGTCAATTCAGTCCATTTTACTAATAACTGCTGAATATTGTAGCAAAATAATAAAATTAATTTATACATAACTAAAGGATGAATGTTCTACAAACCAAAAGTGCAGTCTTGAATAAAAATAAACATGTGCATAATAAGTGAACATTATAGAAATAAATCCAACTAATCACATACAAGAATGGAAATGATAATTAACGAAATAATTTAAAAAAAAAGATTTAATGACATACTTTAAATGTTTAGAGAGAACATTCTAAAATAAGAGGGTAATATAGGAAAATCACAACTTAAGAAACCTCTAGAATGTGCCTCCAAAACCTATAAATAGGTGCTTTCCATCAATTTCAAGGGGACTTGGAACTATTCTTGCTCTATCACCTTGATGTTAGCTCATTTTCTATCTTTCTCCCTTGTCCATATCAATCTTTTCCTATCTTCATATGTAGCCATCCACCATTTTCTCCCTCTTATCACCAGAATTCCAACTCCGGTGAACTACATTGGCCTGATCCCTCCCTAGAGTGTATGTAAGCAACCCCTTCGGTGTTCGACCACTTCCTTTTCTTTCCTCTTTTCCCCTACCCAGTTTAGCCAACCAATCCAAGTTCCACAAATTTCAGAGTATAGACCACCACCACATGCCCACTGGCCTTACAAATGTTAAGAAATTATAGAAATTAATATTCTATAAATTACAAGAAATTAATATTCTATAAGTTACAAAAAATGGCAAACAAACTACAAAAAAAAACTCCAAAATATTGTAGGAAATTTCAAGAAAACTACACAAAATTGTTTGAATGTTGTAGAAAATTGCTAAAAAGTTATAGAACATTGTATGGATGCTACTACACTAGTTAATTGTTCAATAAATCAAGTATAGAAAAAGCCATCTTGATAAATACAATGGTTCTATGTTTTTTTTTTTTTTTTTGCTGTAATTAAAATTTCAATTGCTAAAAAAGTCAAAGAGTACATTAGGAGGAGAAATCCAAATTAACTCATTGTGAATTACCCAAAACCTTGTAGCCAAAGTATGAGATATCAATTTTAAAGATCTATGCACATGAAAGAAACATAAATCATCAAAACTAGCACCAACATTCTTAATGTCAGATATAACTGGTTTAGCAGCCCATGAAAAAGAGAGCAATGTCCCTCGCAATGCAGTAATCACGTTGAGATTGTCATTTACCACAAATTTTCTGATGATGAAACACCAAGCAATGCTTTAAAGCAGAGAGAGAATAGCCTAGTGGAGTGCAAAGGGGAGATGGAGTGATGCCCGGCTGCCATGATAAACCTATTATTCACCCCAATAATCACCCATTCAGCAGAATTGGATTCATCTTTGACAGCAACATCAGAGTAAATAATTACATCCGCCTCAGAAGGGACACAATTTGATTCCATACTCCCACTCATGTGTTGAACCCCCCTCA